TCGCGCCTGGCGTGTACGCAAAAGCGCCAAAAGTGCAAATTTGTCCCAAGACTTTTGTCCATGATTGTAGCAGTTAAATCTAGACGATGGGGGAATTCGAAAACAATTTAGACTTTTTTCTTTCTATGATACCCATCATAAATGAACAGATGATGAATGTTAAGCTCGGTAATGAAATGTGAAAGGTGAATTGATCAACATGACAAATGATATCGATCCTTTGACTTCAAGCATTCTATTCCTGGCTTTCCATTCAGTCAGATCGGTATACATGATGAGCCAACTGGAATTCCTCTACCCACTATTCCACCTATCCCCTCACGCCTGTGTTCCCCATTTCCCGCTAAGTGTATAACTAATGCACAAGTAGAGATAGTATTCAACTGCAGTTGGGTCAGTCACTGGGCTACAGTGTAGTAGGACAGTTAATGACACTCAGAATTCGTTCGTTTTCGTTCGGAACACAATCTCATTAATGTGTTTAATACACCAATCGCATTCGATAGCTCCATATTATCCATTATTATATGGCTAGCTCCGCGAGCGGGCAAGATGAAACAAATCCTGCGCCGTGATTGGCTACCCGAGCGGGCAANAGCTTGTTCGGTCAAGATGGCTGGATATTGGCCTCGTTCTTTTTTTGCGAGTTTATGGACCTCGACTCCGTCTCGGTCCATAAACTCGCAAAAAAGAACTTGGCCAGTATGCAGCCATCTTGACCTCACACTTGGTCCATAACCCATACTTATATAGGAAGTAAGTTCTCTTGGAATGGTTGAAATTACGTGTCATTTTACCTCCCTTCAAATAAAATACATCATCCATACAGTGTATTTACGTTTTTTTCTTCTGTACGTTCCGGTATTGTTGCGTGTGCGGTACTACTGTTTAGGTAACCCAGGGGATGATCAAGTAAGAAACTAGCTTGACAATTAAGACCGAGTTTACCAGAAGACCAGGCGGGGGTGATACATGCCATCTCTCCTTTTTGGATGAAACTTTGCCAGATTGAAGGTACTACCC